TCATAACAATAGTCCCCGTTTCCTAGTCATCTCTAGTCCTTCTGGCGAAATGCATAAGATGTCTCCTTTCGTAATAACAAATACATCCAGTCTTGTATTGGTGAGCCGAGAAATATAAAGCGTCTCCGCTCCGGAGACTTCCTTATTGATACAATCTCAGCCACCCAGTCTGCTTCTTTACTTCAGATAACTAAACTTGGGCAAGCGAATGTCACTGTAACAGCACATAAGACACTGAATTATTGTCGTGGCGTTAATATCGGAATTCGACCTTCTGTATGTTCCTGAAGAAGAGATCGCTTCCGAGCTATCCGACCAAAATGTCTGCGGTGCTAGGCGGATCAAGATGCGTAAGGAAGGTAAGTTGATCGATACGAAACACGTGATCCTTACCTTCAACACGCCTGATCTGCCTAAGAATATTAAGGCCGGATATTTAAATTGTCCTGTAAGACCTTATATTCCCAACCCTATGCGATGCTTCCAATGCCAGCGTTTCGGCCATTCTAAGACGTCTTGTCGTGGCAGCCTCACATGCGCCCGATGCTCACAGATTGGCCACGATTCTGAAAATTGTACCGCTGCGCCTCTTTGTATAAATTGCAAGGGTGAGCACCCAGCATTTTCACGCCTCTGCCCCAAAATGGAAATTGGAAAAAGAAGTGCAGACTGCAAAGGTTACGAGGAACATCTCATATGCCGAAGCCAGAAGATTAGTCCAAAGCACACAGCTACGACCAAATACATCTTACGCCAATGCTCTTAAAAATCTCGCTCAGTTGCCACCCAAACATCAGTTAGTATGCAGACGCCACCAAACAAAACTCAACAGACTACAAACACAAAAGAAAAGAAAAAACCCAACCCATACAGTACAAAATAAAAGAATAGTAATTCAAAGCAAACCCAAAACTACCACACAAAAGAAACAATAAAAATAGAAGTTCCAGCAATAGCTCTCTTGATGGAATGGTTTCTGAATCTGCGGATTCAGACGGTATGGAAGTAGAAGAGGGTCTAGAAGTTCCCAAGCATCTACTTCCACGAAAAACCAAACAAGAGCACAGAAAGAACAAAAACCATTCATAATGGCCACCCTCGTCTCATGGAACTGTCGCGGTTTCCACCGAAATTTGCTCGACATCAAAGCTATAATCAATGTTTATCATCCTGTATGCTTCGCAATACAGGAAACAAATCTAAAACCGGAACAAGCAAAACTTCGGAGGTTTTCTTTCGTCAGGAAAGATAACCTTGCAGGTGAGCGTGCCAGTGGAGGTGTAGGTCTCCTCACCTCACTGGATTATCCCTCAAATGTGCTTTCTTTGACGACATCCCTCCAAGTTGTCGCTACTCAAACAAATTTTGATTTTGTTGTTTACAGTCGTTTCTCTGTATTTGCCTCCAAATGAGCATATTGATCAGCAAGATTTAAATGGTCTTTTAGAGCAGCTGCCTGAGCCTTTCATCATAATAGGAGATTTTAACGGCCATAGTCCGCTCTGGGGTAGTAAGGATACTAATTGCCGAGGAAGACAAATTGAGCAGATGATCGAAGATCATAGCCTTTGTCTCCTCAATAATGGGCAAGATACTTACTACTTCCATGAGCCTTCAAAAACATTCCATGCTCTCGACCTTGCCATCTGTTCACCATCTCTGTTGCCTTTTTGCACTTTTAATGTGGGTAAAGATCTTTACAACAGTGATCATTATCCCATTTTTGTGTCTCTTGCACGAAGAGGAGCAAACCCCATGTCGAGATCCCCTCGATTTCATACTGGACAGGGCAGACTGGGAACTCTTCTCTTCCATTGCAGAGCTCACAGATGAAATGGTAGAAGATGCGCATATCGATGACGCTGTTGAAGCTGTTACTAATACTATTATTCAGGCAGCTATGCTCTCCATTCCTAGAACATCAGGAAAAACTACTAAAATATTCAAAACCATGGTGGAATCGCGACTGTCATGAAGCACTGAAAAAACAGAAAAAAGCATGGGGTATTTTTCGTAGATATCCTACTCTGCGCGAAACCTCATAGCCTTTAAAAGAGCCAAAGCAAATGCACGAAAAGTAAGAAGGCAGAGCCAGAGGGATTCCTGGATTTCATATGTGTCGTCAATAACATCCTCCACGCCTAGTAAGCGGGTTTGGGAAAGAGTTCGAAAAGCATGCGGCAATATATAAAGACCACTCACTTTCCTTTTTGGAAAAAGATGGCCGAGTGATTAGCTCCATAGAAGAAATTGCGAATACTATTGGTGAGACATTTGCTTCCGTTTCTTCCAGCAGAAACTATACACCTGCATTTCTTTCTATCAAAGCAGCACTCTGAAATAAATCCCATCGCATTCAACTCTTCCAAATCTGAGCCTTACAATAGAGACTTTACTATGCTTGAATTAAGGAGTGCTTTATTGCAGACACATAGGTCTTCTCCGGGTCTTGATGGCGTGAATTACGAAATGCTAAAGCATCTGTCCTATAAGTCACTGAATGCCCTTCTCACTCTTTACAATAGAGTGTGGAAGGAGCATGCCTTTCCCAGTGCATGAAGGAGAGCTATTGTCATTCCTATTGCTAAGCCAGGGAAAGATCCAAGGAATCCCTCCAACTATCGGCCAATTGCCCTTACGAGTTGCCTCTGCAAACTGTTTGAAAAGATGGTAAACAGCCGCCTAGTCTACTTCTTGGAAAAGAATGAATATTATATCGCCTTATCAGAGTGGTTTTCGAAAGGGAAGAACAACTGTAGATAACATGCTCCTCTTAGAGACATCTATTCGAAAAGCATTTGTAAGAAGAAGCCACCTTGTCTCGATATTCTTCGACATTGAAAAAGCTTATGATAAGGCATGGAGATACGGTATACTCCGGGATCTTCACGAGAGTGGCTTGCGCGGCAACCTACCAATTTTCATTCAAAATTTCTTGAACACTAGAACTTTTCAAGTAAGAATTGGCTCTGTTTTTTCGGATGTTTTTAAAACAGGAAGAGGGTGTGCCTCAAGGCTGTGTGCTCAGTGTAACCCTGTTTAGTTTAAAAATAAATTCTGTACTAAAAGAACTTCCTCCCACCATCTTGGGATCTCTATATGTTGATGATCTGCAGATTAGCTGTCGAGGAGCAGACATGAGATATGTAGAGAGGCAACTGCAGATGGCTCTGAATAAGATCCAAGAATGGTCAGACAAACAGGGATTTACATTTTCGAAACAGAAAACTGTGTGCGTGCACTTTTGTAGGAAGCGAGGTCTCCATCCTGAACCTGAGTTATATCTGAATGGTACAATTATTCCAGTTGCGCCTGAAGTAAAATTTTTAGGAGTGACGTTCGACCGAAAATTGACTTTCCTTTCTCATGTTTTAAACCTGAGAAAGAAGTGTCTAAAAACACTAAATATTTTAAAAGTGTTGGCGAACACCTCCTGGGGTGCAGAGCGTTGCTCCATGCTTCGCATTTACAGAGCGCTCGTCCGCTCTAAAGTGGACTATGGCTCAGTTGTTTATGGATCCGCTCGGTCATCTGTTTTGTTAAAACTGGATCCTGTTCACCATCAAGGTCTTCGGATTTGTTCAGGAGCTTTCAGGACTTCTCCTGTGCAGAGCCTATATGTTGACTCTAACGAACCATCACTTTATCTGAGGCGTGAGCAATTGTCCCTTTTACAATACTTTAATATCTTATCCCAACCTGAACATCCCAATAAGCTGTGCTTACTTGATAATGAGTGTAACACTTATTTGAAACACGTCCATGCTGTGTTCCTACCTTTCCTTTAAGAGTTCGCCCTATCATTGAGGAACTTTCCCTCTCTGATATGCGCCCCCAAGCAGTACAGAATTTTGAAATTCCACCTTGGGAAAATTCACGGATTCAGCTTCTTGATGTTTTCAAACATCACGTGAAGGCAAGCACTAACGAGATCGTTTACAGACAACTCTTTGCTGAGCACAGGCACAAATATAGCAGTTATTATCCGATATACACAGATGGATCAAAGTCAAATGATCATGTTGGGATGGCTTTTGTATTTGAAAATTACATAGAGGGCAGATGCCTGCACCATGCTTTCTCAGTCCTAACATCTGAACTGAACTGCAATATATTATGGTCTTTTGTACATCTCAAAGCTCTGCCACAAAAAGTTCATAGTTTACACAGACTCGTATAGTGCTCTTAAATCCTTGGAAGCTTTTCCCAACACGCTCAGAATCCTGTGGTAGTGGATGTTCTCAAAATTCATATAAATTTAACGATTCGAGGATATGAAGTCCTGTACTGCTGGGTTCCTGGACATGCGGAATAAAAGGAAATGAGCTTGCAGATATCGCAGCCAAATCTGCTGTTGAACTGTCCAGTCGCCTTATCCCTTTTAGAGATATCTGCAATGTCATCAAGGGAAAGGTCCGAAAAAAATGGCAGCAATTTTGGGATGTTCAGCATCACAACAAGTTGAGAAACGTCAAGCCTAGAATTGAGCATTGGGATATTGTTGGAAATCGTAAGGAGGACGTTCTTTTGACTCGCCTCAGAATTGGTCACACATAACTATCTTCTCAAAGCTGAAAATGAGCCTGTTTGTTTTAATTGTAATGTTTGTTTATCTGTTCGTCATATTTTAATTGAGTGTCCATGTTTTAATAGTCTTCGCCAGAAATATTTTAATAGCTGTGACTTACCTCTCGACCGTTTAATCGGAAGAGAGGTGAATTGTAATTTATTTTATTATTTAAAAGAGATTGGCTTTTATTACCAAATGTAATTTGTTTTGAAGACTGTGTCTTGAATTTTAATATGTGCTTTTTAACTTGTGTTTATATGACTTCATCCTCTGGATTTGGTACATTTATCTACTTGTTTTTATTGATTGAATTTTAATGTCATCAATTGTAATCATCCCATCTTGTGTTTGGCGCGTCATAACCATCTCTGGTTTTTGCGCCATAATCACTCACTCACTCACTCACTCACACACACCTTTTTTATTATAGGAAGTTGATCTTATACCAAATGGTTCAAATGTGCTTGTGACAAATGAAAATAAACTTCTGTATTTAAATGCATTAGCTCAATATAGATTGTCAAGTAGTGTCAAAGCTGAAATCGAACACTTTTTAAAAGGTTTGAATGATTTAATACCGGATAACTTATTATGCATCTTCGATGAAAATGAATTAGAGGTAAGAATTTTGCTATTATTAATAATTTTTAATTATATTGATTTTAATCATATTTAAAATAATTATCGTACAATTTTTTGAAGTGTTATTATGTAAAAGCTATAATGTAATAAATTATGTTGATTAAATAAACTATATTAAGCCCAAGTTTGCAGTGTGGGCATGTAGTGGTATGTTTGCTTGGTATGTAATTGCTTGCTCATGTTGCCATCTATTACCACCATTGAGAAGTGTATCAGTACCCAAGTTTCATATGCCCTTGAAAATGATAATGACCTTTAAATTTGATCCTGGGTCTAATCTGGGCAGTCGAGCATCATACCATTGTTGCAAAAAAGTTCCCATGCCACAGATTTTGATATTCAAACTGCTTTGTAATGTGAACATTTTGATTAGTTCTTGAGATCACTACAGCAGTAAAAAAGTAACAATATTTCTAATTCACTCATTATTTATTAGATGTAAAAGAAATTATTTAACATTTATTGTCTGCAATAAAGTATATTTGTTTTTAATAAGTTTTTAAATTTTGGCTATTTTTAAAATTTTATTTTTATGTCATTTATATCCTCATATTATGTGTAGGATAGTTGTTAATGCTTCTCCTTTCAAAGAATTTAGTAATAAAATTCTTCCATCTTAATTTAAAAAACTTTATCATCTACTAAAAATTAAAGTTTATTATTATTATTGTTATTATATATTGAAAGGTATATATTATTTTTTTCATTGTTCTTATAACACAGTGGTACCCAAACATTTCCGAGTTGCAGGGACTTTTTTCAATTAAAATCTTTCCAATTAAACCTTAAGTAAAAGTATGACTAATCGTAAGCAAGAGCTAAAAATAAATAAAATGCATGTATCTTCATCATTTACACTTTCTTTACTTTATTAATATTAAATTACTAATTAATGTGATGGATGATCCTGCAAATCACTACATATTTTCTTTAATTGTGCAGATAAATTGGACAAGTTTACCCTCATTTCGTTTTCCGTGTTAATTTTTGCTGTATACTTGCTTTTTATTATGGCAACTGCCGAAAACCCATCTTCACACAAACACAATGTCAAAATTAGAATTAAAATCCATTGAGCCTTACCATTTAGAAGGAGTATTCATCTTTTATTAAAATCCAGAATTCTGTCAATTCCATGCTGCCAAATTTTGCTTTCAAATTGTCACATGATATCATAATAAAATTATCTCCTTCCACAGAAGTAAATTCATACGGAGCACTGATGTTAAATGGATCTTGAATCCATGCAAACCTATCGAAATTTTCATTTTGAAGGTATTTATCTAACCAGATAATTAGCTGTGATAAGTGCCCTTTGAATGTGGTTTTTCTGACTTGAGAAAGATCAAGTTCATTTGACGTCATAAATTTCTGCAATATTAAAAAACAATCTTTGCCTGCATCTTCATTCAAATTTCTTCTCCATAGTTTGAATTTTTTTTTATAAAAGCTGATATTTTTCCATTGACTTCAAAAGGTGCATGATTGTTCTTGCTGGGAGAGATTGAGGGAATTTAGCTTTTCAAAAACATGGCATAAATATGCCAGTTTTATTAAAAGTTTAATTATTAGCATCAACAAAATTTTCTGCATCTTTGTATCCTTTCTCTTTAAGGAAAATAAAAAAATTATTGCCGCAATTCAAAGGTATGTGATAAAACATTACCATGAAAGAGCCATCATGGACTGCTATAGTACAACAAAGATGAGTGTTTGGCTCCCAGATCCTCACGCGTGTTTTTTTTTTTTTTTTTTTTTTTTAAATCTTGCTTTCAATGAACGAGATTTTATAAAATTTGCTTTGAAAAAGTGCATGTAATCCTCCATAGTAGCCAGGCATGAAGCAAACTCCATCAGCACAGATACCAATGCACTTAGGCCAATTCAAAATGTTTTCAAATATGAATGCATCAAGATTCTCAAACAGGTCCTGAGTCTTCGCTTCTGCAATGATGTTTTTACAAAACAAAAGGTCTTCTTTGATATTATTACCATCTGTAAACCATACATAGCATATCAAATGAGAATCTTTATAATTATCTGTAGCCTCATCTAACTGCAATCCAAATTCTAATTCATCTTTGATACCCTCCACTATATGTTGCATTCTCTGACTAATTGTATTATTAAGTAAAGGCACTTTTTAAAAGCAGCTTCCTAGCAGAATCACCAACCATGATCTTCATCATATCTACAGTTGCTAGTAGAATAAGTTCTGCGATGGTATGATGCTGCTGTGGTGATCAGCTTTTAAATGGCACTTCAATTTACTTGGAAGCATACATTCCGCTCGAAAACTTTGTCTTGAAAATGTCGCGGTGCACAAGGAACTGGAAGTTGATCTGTCAGCACTATCCTCATCTTCAGAGCAGATGTTTTTAATTTATTCGGCTTATAATTCCTTACTAAATGTAGTATTTCATCTCGATGTACTCAGTCTTTGATATGATTTGAATCAAATTCCTCATCATTATAAATATCACGAATACACATCAAATGGTTTTCTGGTTGCAATTTTCTAATTTCGACTATGCGTAATGTATGCTTTACGCATGCGCGTGTTGAAAGAAATGTTTAATAAAGTAAACAAATAAATATTAGGCCCTTTTTTTTTTTTTTTTTTTTTTTTTTTTTTTTTTTTTTTTTTTGTAAATTTTGATACCTTTAGATCATAATTGCACTTTATTTCATAAATTACGGTTTCATATTTTTAATTTTATCATTTCTGCATGCCATTTTACCAGATTTAAATTGATCTATAATCTAGAAAAACCGATAATCTGGAATCACAAAAGTCCCGACAAGTCCGGATTAAAGACTTTTGACTGTAATTATCTGTTCCAAAAATGCATCCTCAAATGTTATTTTCGCTGTGGTTTCAAATTATAGCTTTATTGTGAAAGCAGCAAGCACACAAGAATTGTGAAATATTAGCTTTATTTCTTTTCAGTACTTCTGAGTTCAAATTTAAGTAATATAAATAAAAATCTTAGTCTTCTTGACTTTCATCTATTGGCTTGACTGTACAACAATTTAAGTAGCTATAAGACCATTGTCTCTACTAAGGTTACAAATAACACTTGTGTTTGACAACCTACTCTAAATTAAAGCACGCTTATGTATCTGGCATAATGTCTGGCAGTATTCTTAATCAAACTATGGCTTTTGATGCAAGATTGGTGTTTGAAGCAACAGTCGAGAAGTCTCTACTACAAGTCCTGCTGTTATGATTCTTCCTTTCATTTTACACTATGCTGCCTGCAGTAAAATCTGCATACATTTCTATATTGAGCAAGTTTGTGTCAAAGCAAAGCATACGAAAAGGTCGAAAATAAATTGTTAGCTATTAATTAAACTCATAATTCAAGTACAGTATAAAGTTTGATATTCAGACTCGTTGGGGCTTCGGTGGTTGTAGGTTTGGAATTTTCCAAATTTTATGTCATTACTTTAAATTTAGTAAGATGACATGTAGAAATTATGGAATAAAAAATCTGAAATAATTGTTTATGAAATAATGAAGCATTTATGAATATTGAGAGAATCCAAATTAAAAAAGAGTCAATATTTATTTGTTTGTTTTATTAAGCTTTTCTTGCAATGTAAATTGTTTATTGATCATTTCCAGATTTCAGGTCCTGTAATTATAGTGTCGAGAATTGCCATTGTCATGTAGCTCTCTGCAGTCAGCCAATCTTGGCAAGAACCAGCAGGTGAGACAGATAGATTATGAGACAGACGAAAGTTGTCTGCAGAACTTTGGTAGGGCATTCATGCCTGAGTTCAAACTTCGATCTTAGCCAGGGTGGCTGATGCAGTTTTGTAGGGTGTTAGGAACACCTGAATTTAAACAATAATCCATGGGTATTTTCTTAAATCATACTCTATCAACATGTAAATATTTGGACATAAAAGTCATGTTTCTAGATAATAAAATGCTAAATTTTCAATCGTGTATTGTGTAACTTCTCTGCCATCTCGATCAGCATGACGCCCACTAAGTTGGCATTTGAAATTGTTTCATTCTCAACAACCTCTATCACTTTCTTCTCCATCAGTAGTGATATTTTCTGGGTTTGGAACTATACTACGTATTTCATCATACTTTAGTTGATTGATTATTGGAGCATTGTCATGGTAATGAAATACTTCTGTTATATCATCTTCATTAATTACCACTTCTTCACATTACTTGGAAAAGTTTCCAAGTAATGTGAAGTTTACTTCACAGTTTCCATTGCTTGGAAAATTCTTGGAATTTTGTGCAATTCTTGTACATATGAAAAAAAATTACTTTTAATTATTATTCCAAGTTTCCATTCCATTACTTGGAAAAGTTTGCCTTTTGTTTGCAATATCTGAAAACCTTCAAATTTGCAGCTGTCATCATTAAAGTTTAACAAATGTCCATTATACAAGGTAAATCTGAACAAGTGGTCAAAACTTTAGGGTGTGATGGAAGGCAGCTATATGAGCAATATTCGTCGTTGTCGTTGTTGTTTATACTCACGTGTCTGACGTAGTCAACCCAAGTCAGTGAAATTCCTCGTGGCAAGGAGCGCTAGATTACGGCTGCCGTTGGCAACAGCCTTGAGCACCATTCAGGTGACAGTGCTATTTAGCTCAGTTCTACCCCCAATTTTGATGTAGAGCACTCCCGGGGATGGGTCCGAGGGCCTCTCACCTCTCTCCCACACTAGAGGACTTTCGGCTCGCCGCATCCAATTTTATTTTTTACAATCCGTGCTGCCATATCACACCAACACCATATATTTACAAACACCCATGCCTTTTCCAGGATTCAAACCTAGCCCTTTGGCAAGGCAGTCAGCGACATTAACCACTATACCGGTTGGGCGGCACAGTGTTCGTCATATAATGTAAGGTCGGAATGCAACCAGTGAGAAATTAAAGGGTAGTTTTTCACTGTCAGATTTAAAGAATTCATGCAAGAACAAGAGGAAATACTTCAGAAAACATTTTATTAACAGGAATGTAACTGATGTACACTGCGCCCAAAACAAAAAGGACAGTTCTATATCTCAAGTCCTACTGGGACAATTGACGGAATTTAAATTGTGTTTTTCATGTCTCGGGAGGGCGACTTAGGATATATATTAAATTTATATATAGCGTCATTCTAACATAGGTATTTTGTCACAAAATCGAACTTTTCAGGCATGCCATGCCAATTTTTTTCCATATTTTGATTCTACAACTCAAATTATGTCCAATTATTAAATTTTGTAAAATATGGTTCGAAATTTACAGAAAAATTCAAAATTTTAACATAGCATATTTTTTTCAGTTTTTGAAAAGAATAATTTACTTGGCAAACATCTTAATTTATAGCAACCTATTTTCCTTAAAAAGGAAGTATTGTAATCGCGAAAAATTTCAGGCATCATATTTCCACAAAAAAATATCCATTTTGACCGCTATCGAATGCAATTTAATGATGTTTTTGCATGACATCTGTACATAAGGGCAGAATAAAGGACTCTTTTTTTTTTTTTTTTTTTTTCCCTCAAAAAAGTTATAAAAATGATTTAAAATTAATACTAATGAGATTTTTTTTGTGGTATCTGTATATACGTACCTCACATAACGAGTAGTCTCAGAACGTTGAAATTTTGTATATAGGACTATATAACATGTAAATATGCACCTCCCGTTTTGGTTGCAATCGGCAGCACCATATACAGTCCAAAGTCGTTAATCCGGACTCGTCGGGACTTCGCCGATTACGGATTATCGATTTTTCCGGATTATAGATCACCAGTTTAAATCTGGTAAGGTGGCATGCAGAAATTATAAAATTAAAAATATGAAACCATAATTTCTGAAATAAAGAACAATTATGATCTAAAGGGTATCAAAATTTACAAAAAAAAAGCTTAATATTTATTTGTTTACTTTATTAAACATTTCTTTCAATGTAAGTTGTTTAAGTTGCTTCGTTTTTTTTATGTGATAATACATTCTCTTTAATTCTATAAACAGACATAATTTCTTGTTCAGTTACAAAGTTCTGCTGTTTAAGTCCTATAATTGCTGTGTCTACCGACTAATATGTCAATTGAAATTTTTTCGTTTTCAATAACTTCTGTCACTTTCTTCGCTATTGGAAGCGAATTATAATGACGAGGAATTTGATTTAAATCATATCAAAGACGAGTACATTGAGATGAAATACTACATTTAGTAAGGAATTATAAGCCAAATAAAATAAAAACATCTGCCCTGAAAATAAGGATAGTTCTGACAGATCAACTTCCAATTCCTTGCGCGCCGCGGCGTTAAAGATAAACAAACGTTAAAGTTTAGATAAACAAAGGATATGCCTTTATCCATTTTTTGCAGCAATTCCACTTTTTGTTTAATGAACTTCGAAATATACTTTCGCTTTGTAGATCCTTTACATACTAATAAATATGTATCAGAAATTCTATTTGACATAATCGAAAGTTCAAGCTTACTTTTATAAAATTGCTCTAACGGTCTGCAAAAAATAATAAGCCGGATCCAATTCGAAGATTAAGGAACAATGCAATCTGCAACATTAACTAAAATAGATAATTAGATAATTTTAGCTTAGCTGATACCATCTGTTATACATTAAACGCGCACTTGTAAACGTATTTTGCGCACGCACACAAGCATATTCATATTTGCAGCCGTAAAGGTAAGGTAAGGTAAAGGTCAACGAATTATAGATCATTCTAGATTATGGGTGTCCGAATTAACGACTTTTGACTGTACCCACTGTGTTACTCGGCTCAGTGAGCTCAGTTTCTTTATTCTTATATGTTTGTAAATTGTGCATTTATTGCTTTAAAAATGTTTGAATTATGTTGTTCTGGTTAAGATTTGCATACCTTTAGTTAACCTGCATGCAATAATTCCTGCGAAAAACAGAGGCCCTGCTGATGAGAAATTTTCACGGACAGGAGAGACGGCGAAAGGGTTAATAGCAGTCATATTTATCAAAGTTAGTGATAATGCTATTATGAAGTTCATCACTAACATGTTTAATTACATCTGTGATGTTACTTTTATGCTCCTTAATTTCCAGTAGTCTTTGATACAATCTCAGAACTAGTGTTTTTAAGGTTCTAAAAAATACTGGTATTCAGAAATCAGAGCTAGTTGCCATGAGAAGCTTCTCTGTGTTTTGAAGGCGATACCACTTATTTATAACTTCTGGATACATACTCATGTATAAAAATAGTCTTTCTTTTTCTGCCGCATCTGAGGGATGGCTGCGAACATTATCTCTGCTGCAGTTTGAAAAGCTGTACTTATAGAAATATGGATATTTAATTTTTTTTACATGTATGTAAATATATAAAGTACTAATAGTCTTTCATTAAATATACAGTTACTGATGTGTGGAACTGGATCCTATAGCATTGCTGACTTCAAAGCAAATCATGCTGTTAGTGGCTCATCATATGAATTCAGGAAGGTAAACTGAGTGTTTTATTATTTTCCATATGGATATTTTTATACTAAATACATTATATTATCTAGAAGAAATTATTTTTAAAGATTCAATTGATTTTTATTGGTACTTTTCCATTAAAGCCATTCCCCTTGCTCTTTTTAGTCCAAAGGGGCTTTGTCCCTAAAGGACTATTGTTTTTGATTTGAGATTTTGCGTTGGAACTCTATAAACAGCATATCACTTTTCAAATCGTTGCCACCAAATATTATCGCCCTGTATTATATTTGAAGAAATTAAATGATGAAGAATCTGCATAAATGTATGCATGTGTTCTCGCATTGTGATAAAATCACCTAGAGCAATCTAATTTTGAATGACGTAATCCTACTACGAATATGGGCATCTGAAAGTCCAAATTTGGAATTTGTGTTATTATCGATTTCATATTTTGTAAAACTTTAACGAATTTTTGATTAACAAACTCAACAATTTAAAAGCGAGCAATGGCAACACTCTACGGGGTGGGGGACCTTTTTATCTCTAGCTTGCAGAACTGTGTATCCGAAATTCTAAAGATATGCTCATTTTAAAATTATTTTGTGACATTGCTGTTGAACTGAATTTTATGGTTTAACTGCAAAGAACATGATATTTAGTAAATAAAGGTAAAACACAAAATGTTTAAAAAAAAAAAAAAAAAAAAAAAAAAGCATCCCTTGCATAACCACACTTTTCATCTAATCATAGCTTTTCTTTGTTTTCCCCCCTCTCTGCATTGGAATTTCACAATTTAAGATTTGTAAAATATGAACATGTTGCTATTCTGTTTCTTTGTTTTAAAAAGAAAATCTTTTTCACACATACCAAAAAGGAAGAAAGAAAAGATTATGTTTGAATTAAATTATGATATTAAAATGTGACTGATAACCAAAATGGCTACACAGCCTTCTTTTATGCTGAAAATAATGTCTGTCTATATTTCTTTCATTACTGCCATATGATTTTTTTTTTTTTTTTTTTTTTTTTTTTTTTGTGGGAATGGGGATGTAAAAAATGAACATGTGTTGAGTTTTTCAAACTAAAACTGAAAATGAATCACAAAACAATAGTTGGAATGATTACATATAACTGATATGTGTCGATTCTCTTATTTCATTCTGACATTCAAATCAGTGGAAGTGACAAAACTGTGGTAATTGATGAAATCTTATTCCCCTCTTCCTCCAAAAAAATAATAATGACATAGACCATGCTCTCCTTGTCACATTAAGTTTTTTAGGAGTTGTGATGTGAAACTAGAGAATCTTTCCTTGTTGCTATCTCGAAACAGGTAGAAAACTTGGTTCCAAGTTTGCAAGTCATGAACGTGGAAGTGTAGTAGTAGTGATCAAGTAGAAAATGATGGAGTAGAAAACTTGGTCTAAAACAAAATGCCAAAAGAAAAAGGGTTTTGAGAGAAAAAAATAATAATTAATATTGAACCAAAGGCTAGAGATAAGAAATGATCCCAAATATACCAATGTGGTGCTGAAAAACATGGTATGACTTTAATAGAAAAATATTTCTCTATATTCCGAATCTAAATTGACATATGTATTATAATGTTAATTCATTTATAATTCATTATGATCATTGATTTTTTATTTTATTTATTTATTTTATATTTTGTATCTTATCTGAATTGTGCATTCTGTATTAGCTCCTTTGTAAGATATTCATGACTTGTGTATGAAAATATACATAAACCAAACCCTTTTGTGAGTTTATCATGCATTAAAAGCAAAGCTAATAAATTTTTTTCACTATTTACTTTTTATGTTAATTCTTTCATTACCAAAGCATCCAAGACAACCTTTCCTTAAACGACCAACAGACACCTGAATGACTGAGATCGCATGCTCTGTTTCTAATCACTCCGTTAAGCACTCAGTAACCTAAGTTGTAGCTTCTCCAAAAGCAATGTATCAGTTCATTTTTACTGTCTTATCATAAAAGGATTCTTATCTCATTCCTTATCTCTAGATTTAAAATGACTTGTGGAAGCTCCTTTGTTAGGAACTGGAAGCAATATCATTTGAAACTTCTACACCTCTTTGTTCATTAATGAACCGGGAGAAGAAATTATTTGAATCTGAAGTAGAATTTGAGATATTTTGATATTTTAAGGAAACAGGTGAGCAGAGGCCTTGGCCTTCAAATAGTTAATGTGGAGTAAACACCAAAAAAGTTGGTCTCTGCATAGAAAAGGATACTGAAGTTAGATGTAAGTTTATTTCTTAATTGTATATATCTACTGAAGAACTGCAGCTCCTTCTCGACCAAGCAACATTTGGAAGCCCAAAGAAAATTTTCTTCTGAGGAGGAGGAGAAAGAAAAAATGCCTACTACAGCTGTCAAGAGCTTTCTGAAGAAGTGGAATTAGATTGATCCCAGATTTGTTTAAGTGGAAATTTATTTAATTAGAAGTCGGAAAAAGTACAGGGCACCACCAAGCAGTGTTACTTAATAAGCTGACATGAGCAGAGTGGCTGAAATGTTAAATTATAGTCCTCTATACTACATTAGAACCATCTTAAAGAAGACGGAGACCAGTTTAGATAATTTCTTTGAAACATAGACTTTTTTAACACAAAAGGGTGGAAACACAATTTTACATTTTTTCACTTTTCACACGAATCTGTTGCCATTCAGACGACCATAAGATATTATTTTTTCATATCTGATATGCCTATTATTGATTAGCAAACTAAACTATTAAAAAGCAATAGATGCATTTAATTTTTCAATCTGATTGGTTTAAATAAAAAATGCACTGAATTCATGATGTATTTAATTTTAAAACATTGATGTTTCTTATAGAATTACATTTCATATTTTTTCATTCTTTAAGTATACAGAAAATAAATAATATCCCTTTGTTAGTCTAAGTGCAAATTTGTGTAATATCATATAAAATGTAAGTTAAAATAACACTCAGAATAATGATTATTGGAGATGTTGTAGGAACAAGAATCAGCATAATATTCTTAAATTTGCAGTACTAGTTTCGAAAGTTTGAACATAGAACCTTTTTGTTCAACTGCAGAAGTGCAAATGACGAAAAAGAAGCCTGAGCTCCAATAAGAAGAAAGTCAAGCTACTGGTGCCACATATATAGATGAAAAATGAAAACAGCTATGAAATAATGTCCTTAAAAGTGGAAGGTAAAGCCAGATTTTAATTGGGATCATTAACTGGAACTAAAAAATTTGTATGAATGTGAAATACTTCTAGAAAATCTAGTTTGGCAACAGAAGATGTTTTTAGAATAATATTAGCTGCAGAAAAATGGAAAATATGTTTTTTTGGACAGAAGATTTGCATATTTCTTTTTTTCCCAACATGTACCTCATCTTCCTTAGTGAGAAGTTTTAAGGCTCTCTTAGTTTGATCTGTGTATATTAAGTAACACTGCAGGAAATACTAGAGTTAAGGTTGGTTGTTGGTTGAATAAGGTAAAGCAATGCCAAAAATTGACAAAAGGAGATATGCCAGAAAATAAAAGACAGCTCAGTCGTTAACCTTTAGTAGAACATTTAGACTAAACTCAGCTGAAAAGCAGTTCATATTATATGTAAATACTTTCATGATTGATAAATTACTATTATCACTAATAAACTAATAAATTGTCAGCATTCTTATCATTAATAATGTTTTTAATATTCTTTGAACTTTTTTAAAAATGTTTCATGATTTTCAACTGAAGAATGAATAAATATTATTCTGATAGCAACTTATGATAAATCGCATCCCTTCCGATAATTGATTTGCATAATGAATGTCCTCACAATACTATTCTTTGTGAAAGACACTAAGGTTTAAGCAAATGTCATTCATAGTAACAGTTAAAAGTTGGCTTGAACCTTTATAAACCTTTTATCAAATAGCAATGAATCTATTTTAAGTAAGTAATTTAAAATAGGAAAATTAATACATCTTTTAAATTATTAATTAAATTCATTTTTATTCATAATTTACCTACCTATAATTAAAATAAAGTTTTTAATTTCATATAATTTTCTAATGTTCACAAAGGTAATATTGAATAATCTGTATTTTTTTACATTCTATTTCTTTTGAAGATGAATTTTAATTTGGATTAACACTTCTACAGGTTTTAGATTGGTTCTGGATTGCTGTTTCTAATTTTACTGAGGAAGAAATGGCAAGGCTTTTGCAGTTTACTACTGGTTGCTCTCAGTTACCGCCAGGTGGCTTTTCAGAGCTGAGTCCAAAATTTCACATAATGGCTGCACCAACATTTGGTAACTTGCCGACTGCCCACACATGGTAAAAAATTTTGACTTCTATGCTTAGTTGGAAAAATAAAGAAAAGAAAAAAATTAATTAATTAAGAATAAGATCTGAAGTTTAAAGCTGTATGATACCTGAAATTGAACAAATTTATATACATTGCACAAAGTTACTGTTTCTCCTATCTGTGAAACATGCACAACTTAAAACTTTTACTGTTAAGGTTTGTATGAATAACACAGTTGTATAAGCAATGAGAGTAAATAATTGCTGATTAGTAACTGTTGTAATATTGAAGGTGGTTTCATTTTAAAAACATCTTAATGTCAAAATGAAAACTTGTTGTTTCTTTGAACTTTTGAAAACTTTGAAATAAATAATGTAAAAAAGAATTAATTGCAACTTTCATACTTAAATAAAAAAATTATATATCAGGTTTTAATGAAAGTTTCCCCACCACTGCAAGTATCCTCTGCACAAACAGTTTACGGTAGCATGCTTAATTATATTTTTTCAAATAATTTTTGACATTTGAAAGAAAGAGACTTGCTTTAGGACACTATGTTGTGAAATTTATTTTTAAAAAGTATCGTTATCAGTAAGGTGTCTGAAATGGAACTATCACACTACCAGATTCGAACCATCATTTACTTCCAGTTCTGTTGCAAAAAGTCAGCTACAGAATGTCACCAAATCATGTGTACAGCTTTAGGTACTAATGTTACATCATATGACACTGTGAAGGTTTGGTACCGAGAGTTAAATAAAAAGGACTATGATATTCAAGAACTAGAGTGCTCTGGCCGGCTTACTGATGTTAATGAGGCTCGCCTGCAAGAACCTGTGGAAGGAGATCAGTAGGTAACCACTCGAGAGCTTGCTAAGGAGTTAGAGGTTAGTACCATGTCTATTAGTTGCGCTATGCATCACATAAACTTGATGTATAAGTTCAATCGCTGGGTGATGCATGAGTTGCCTCAAGCAGATAAAGACAGATATGTTCAGCCTGCATTAATCTGCTCAAATATAAATGCAAGGACAAAATTCTGGACTGAATTGTCGCTGGTGATGAAAAGTGGATTTACTTCAACAACATAGGCCAAAAAGGGGGTTTAGTCTGCGCCCGGTGAACTTGTCGGCAGCGTCCCAAAGCACAGTTTGACTAACAAAAATATCATGCTTTATATATTGGGGGGATTACCTTGGTATTATCCTCAATTCAAGATTCACTCCTTTAGATTTTCATGTTACATTATATCAAAAAAAAAAAATCACAACTTCACATATAATTTTACTAAAATTATTTATGCATGTGCAAAATTCACAACAATTACCCTTATGAGATTGCAAATAATTAACCCTTTCGATCCAACTTTTGCATAATTAAAATTTAACTATAAAAAGTAGTTTAATTTAATGTTAGATACTAAAAGAAGTGTGAGTTTAAAGTTTTTAACTTTTCCTCTTTTCTGGAAATCTCTTGAGGGTGGACTATTTGTTCCAGTTGTCTGAGATATTGTAATAATAACCTTATACTGCATGTAAATAAATAATAAAGTTAAATAAAATGAACAAAATATTTTATTTTTACAATACAAATTAAGCATGATATGGCGTAAAGCAGTCTTTACAAAGTGCAACCTGACACATTATGGCAAAAATAGGCCTGGCTTTTTTAGTCATATATTTGTTTCTAAATTCCTTAAAAACACTACAAACCTAAAAGGCCATTTAAAATCGAGTTTTATTTACCCAATAGGGAATGAAATCTAATCTTCAGGACATGTGTACTCGTTGTACCGAAAGGGTTAAATCACAAAAATGGTTAGTTAGACTAAATTAAATTAATTGAGAAAAACACTGCAGTATTTATCTCATTTAAACCTAATAACATTAATCAAACTTCTTAATGTTATTATCTGATTCAAGATTTTTAGAAATTTTTTGAAATCTTTCTCTGTGACAAGCAAGTTCATGTAAATTGCATCATTTTCTTCCTTGTACAAAGTGAAAAGGAAGTAGTGTATCGCAAAAAATTTCGGGTGTCATATTTCAACAAAAATATCCATTTTGACATCTATCGAATGCAATTTAACGCTGTTTTTGCATGACATCTGTACATAAGGACAGAATAAAGGACTCTTTTTCCGCAAAATATGTATGAAACTGATTTAAAAGGAATTCTGAAGAGATTTTTTTCGTGGCATCTGTATGTACGTTCGTGTCTTCCATAACTCAAAAACGAGTTGCCTCAGAACATTGAAATTTTGTATGTAGGGCTGCTATAACATGTAGATGTGCACCTCCTATTTTGGTTTCAATCGGCAGCACCAAAAGTATATATATATCCACTCTGTTACTTGGCTCAGTGAGCTCAGTTTCCTTATTCTTATATGTTTGTAAATTGTGCATTTATTGCTTTAAAAAATGATTGAATTATGTTGTTCTGGTTAAGATTTGCATGCCTTTAGTTAACCTGCATGCAATAATTGTGGAATTATCAACAATTTAAAAGTTTTTTTAAGTGTGGCTCAGCCTAATTTTTTATTACCATGGCAGCCATGTTTGTTTACATTTGGAACATAGCAGAATAGTGGAATTTTTGGCAATCTAGAGAAACTAAGCTTCGCAGCAACAAAGTAGTGTTTTCTTTTATTACTGCGAATTAAATTATGCTAAATTCATTCTGGAATTATCATTTGAGTTATTAGCTTGTTTCTGCATAGAAACTGTAATTTTAATTGTAGAAATTGTTTTCACTGTACTTGGTATTTTATGTTTTCCTATATCTTTAAAATTTTAACGAAAATATTTTGAATTTTTATTCATTTTTGCCTTGCCGCGGCGTGAGAACTGAATTAATTAGTAGCACATGCGCATTAGGTAAGCGGTGCTGAATCGTCTACAAAAAACTTGTTTCTTTTTTTATTTGTTCAATTTCTTTTATACATTGTTTTAGATTTATTATAGTATTTGAATAGAATTTGTGGTAATTCTTCAAATAATATAATGTTTTTGCACTCTGTGTTATAAAATGAATGAGATGTAATGCTGTTAAGTTAACCTAGCGCCGAAGTGTTGCTATGGTAAATAAATATAGTGAATTTTAAAGAGTACATTTATTCTATTGTGTTTTATGCACTATCCATGAAATAGATTTAATTCAAAATTCGTTAATTGTTAAATCAATATGTTTAAATAAAATGCAAGAAAATTGTGTATAATTTAATATTCTGTACAAATAAGTCATGTGGTGTACACAAAAGATTTTTCATTTCATCATTTATATTGTGGAGAACTCTTTATTATTATTATTATTTGTCCACTAGCCCAAGAGAGGGCGCTACCAGCTTTCTCCCTCTCCTCCACTGGGGGAAAATTCGGACTGGTTACTCTATTCCTGGCTGCCATCGGTGAAGCATGCGCTCACCTCTCTTCCGCTTCACTTTCATGATTTTTTAACTATGTGGATTTGCTAACTATAAAAATGCTTATTGTATGAACTGTAATCAATGTGACTGTGTATCAGTGAACGTGTGTTAAAATATATATCTTTTTCTAGTATTAAATAAAAATGTTAATACAGGGTGATAATAATTAAAGTTTAAGTTTCAAAACGCTATAAAAAAAGAACCACTGATGAAAATGATGTGAAATTTGAAAGGAATGTTATTGAAGAAGGCGGAAAGCGTATGGCAGAAAAAAAAATTTAGTTTCAAAAGTTAGCAACAGATGGCGCTGTAAGCGGCAGAATCACGCCGAGAAACGAGAAATGATTCGTAAAACAACGGCTAAGGTAGAAGTTACACATTAAAACGCATTGACAAATTAGAATTGTTGAATAATTTTATTTGCATGACTGTACATATCACATCGAAAGGGACAAATCGGTTTCAAGAGTTTTGCGGCGACGTACCACATAAGAACCATTCATCAAAGAAGTTCGGAACTGTCGCGAGACTGACGAAAAACATGTTCAATATGGTGTCCACTGTAGTGTGCAACAAGTTGAAAGCGACAAACAGCATGTTCCACAACGGATCGCAGTGTCTCCGGGGTGATGTTCAGAATGTGTTGCGAAATGCGTGCCTTTAATTCCGCTAAATTTGCAATTGGAGCACGGAACACAACATCCTTCAGATATCCCCACAGCCAGAAATTACACGGAGTAAGATCAGACGATCGGGACGGCCAGGTTGTAGGGAAATAGCGGCTGATAATTCGAGCATTTCCGAAATGGCGCCTCAGCAGCTGCTTCACGGGATGTGCAATGTGGGCAGGAGCGCCATCTTGCATAAAAATGATTTTATCCACACATCCACGCTGTTGCAGAACTGGAATCATGTGGTTGCGCAAAAGAGACGCATACCTCTGACCAGTGACGGTTGCGGTAACAGGACCGGAAGCACCCGTCTGCTCGAAAAAATATGGTTGTAGGATGAATGATGCCGTAAAGCCACACCATACCGTGACCTTGTCAGGATGAAGTGGTACGGGGTGTTGCCAGTGGATTTTCTGTTGCCCATATTCGACGATTCTGGGTATTCACATATCCTGTCAGATGGAAATGGGCTTCATCTGTCCACAAAATTTTCCACGGCCATTCATTATCCACTTCCATGTGAGCCAGGAATTCTAACGCAAACGTCTCCCTAGCTGTCAGGTCAGACGAAAGCAACTCCTGCACATGGCCAATTTTGTACGGATAGCACTGCAGGATGTTTCGTACAATTGTCAGCACCGTGCTCGTAGGCCTGTCCAATGTTCGGGCAATTCCTCGTGCACTGCACGGTTGCACACCACCGGCCGATCCCTCTTGTAATGCCGTGGCCACTTCTTCAACTACCATCGAATGCACTCGTTTTCTCCCTCTACCAGATTGCACATCAAACGAACCTGTCGTTTCGAATTTTTGCATCATTTTCTTTATACCTACGACACTCATTAGACCAACGCCTTCTTTTATACCCTTCAGTGTCCTGAAGTTTTGCAGAGCTACTCTTGCACAATCATCATTCCTGTAATACAACTTTACC